GACACCCTCTCGCGCCGATACTCATCTATCCTCTCCTGAATCTCCTTGCACGTCCACTCATGTATCTGTTTGTACTTAAACACAGATGCGAGCTCAGGATCTGGGCAGTGTTTCACAAACATTTTAGCGATCTCACCACCAATGTCCTCCATTCGCCTGCCTTGACGCTTCAAACCTTCCTCAGCCATATCAGCAGCCTTGTTGAGGCGTATCCAGTAATCAACAGGATTCTCCCTGTGAGAAGGCAGAGTTGAGTAGAAGTCCTGCAGGGGTAGGCAAGAGGAAGTGCTGCTGAAGTACCTTATCAGCATGTTGAATATGACATCAGGGGCGCAGGAAGTAATAAGCGCAGGATCGCTTCTCAAGCCTATCTTAACTACATCCCTGGCCTTCCCCATTAGCCTCCCCATCACCTCCTCTGTCTGCAACGACACATCAAGACTCTGCTTCCTGATGTATGATTTCATCAACTCAACCCATTCAGTCACTGTGTACTTGTCTGTACCATCACCCCTGAAAATGACAGGTTCCCTGTCGGATTTTACAATAACACTGAATTGAGTGTTTTCACTAGGTGTATTCGTATCGCCACCCGAATGTGAAGTCTGGTTATGTGAGTGAGCATTATTTCGGTCGACATCACCAACAGCTCCACTAGACATAAGTCTGGCCGCAATAGATTCACCTATCTGTGAACCAAGTTGAAAGATCATGTCACTAAACTGGTTTAATGTGTCATTCCCATCACTGGGAGTGGAGTGACGTGCTTTGCCCCTCAAAAATTGCCCCACGGGAGACTCATCCGGATCTAAATCCGACCCAAAGGCTCCAACCCTCCCAGGCAACACAGGTGAAGCTCCCTCATCCCTCCCAACTGACCCATGTGACAGTAAATGAGCACGTGCTGCACCTCTACCCCGCCCAACAGAGGAGAGAACATTTTCACATATATCACTCAGCTGGAATTTGCTTGCCATATTAGCATATAAACAGAAAAAAAAAAGGAAAAGCAAGAAAAACAAACCAAAACAAAACGTAGACAATAACAAATATTCAGAGTTGCAGGTGTCAGCACAAGCAGTCCGGAGAGAGTCCCATCAAATCAAAGAACAAACAGTCCAGTACCTCAACGTAATTCACAGTCCAAGACGAGCAAAGGATGAATCTTTAAGCACAAT